TCTGACTAGTCTCTTTGACGTCATCATGCAACTATTAATATTGTGCTACATTCATTATTCAATTTATTCACAGCAATTAGCCTTCTATAAACCATACAAATGATTATAGCTTGTGGCCCACCTTGCCTTTAACATTGACCTTATATAATGAGTTAATATAACTAACTTGATTATGTTGCTAGTCGAGTATGGGATTGGGACCTATGGGTCTTTTAGATCCTAGAGTAGCACAATTGATATAAAGTATCCATAAGGCGGTAATATTAAAGACTGTTCTTATTTATGCATGACCTTTGACTATTAAGTGGCCGAAAATTGTGCCTACAGTAGTCAACTTAATCCACTATCCAGGTTGCATCATTTTGATTATATATATATATATATATATATATATATATATATATATATATATATATACTTTCCTGTTGCCGATTTAATTATTATGCGTTTAGGCAGTTTTAGGAGGTTACTAAGAGAACTTTGGTCAATTTTGACCAGCGATTTAAGGCAAGTTACCACCCCAGAGTAGGCTGTCATATGTCAATACAATATGTGAATCAATCTCTTGATCAATATCCGATGGGATCTCCAAAGAAAGTACATGTGCAGACAACATGAAACTTTAGACTGCAGAAAATTTCACAATCCGTTATCAAACTTATGTCACAAAAGTGGTAAAGGACATCTGTGACAACTGAATGGTACATTTTGTAAATTTTTTGGCCAGGGGTGGGTATTTATATTTTAATTGATATTTGAGGTTGGGTAATAATTTTTTTTTACTTTTTAATTGTTGGGTCAGCAAAATTTTTGCCAGGAAAAATATTTCTCTTCGGTGCCACCCCCCGCCATAAATAATGACCGGTCCCTAATAACAATAAAAATAATGATAATAATATTCTATTCCAATCTAAATACTATAAAATTTAAGTAAACTACGTACAAACTTATAGTCAAAGTTGCTATAACATTGGCAATAATTCTAACTGTCAATTAATATGCAATATTTATATGCTATGATTACTGTATTTTCACATCTGGACTATTTACAGATGGAATCCAGTCTGTCCAGTCTCCAGTGTCCCTGCCTAACCTATCTTTCTGATTTTTAAATTCAATTAAATAACCTTTCCTCTTATTGTAGCTCTTTATTGTTCCTACCAACCAACCAAGATATATGAGGGTTTCTCCATCCTTTTCCTGATATTCAACCATGACAGTAGAATGGATGAGAGCTTGACCTTCTTTTTGTCGTTCCTTATCAGAGTCTCTGATATGCGTTAGCTTGTCAGGGGGGCCGCTTTCGCCTTTTTTGTCGCCTATCTGATGAACGAAACGAGGCCGTTAAGTCATGGCATAACGGCTTCGTCTTGATACTGCTAGTATACTGAACGAAACGAGGCCGTTAAGTCATGGCATAACGGCTTCGTCTTGATACTGCTAGTATACTGAACGAATCGAGGCCGTTAAGTCATGGCATAACGGCTTCGTCTTGATACTGCTAGTATACTGAACGAAACGAGGCCGTTAAGTCATGGAGTAACGGCTTCTTTTCGTTACTGCCAGTATACTGAACGAAACGAGGCCGTTAAGTCATGGCATAACGGCTTCGTCTTGATACTGCTAGTATACGGAACGGAACGAGGCCGTTAAGTCATGGCATAACGGCTTCGTCTTGATACTGCTAGTGTACTGAACGAAACGAGGCCGTTAAGTCATGGCATAACGGCTTCGTCTTGATACTGCTAGTGTACTGAACGAAACGAGGCCGTTAAGTCATGGCATAACGGCTTCGTCTTGATACTGCTAGTATACTGAACGAAACGACGCCGTTAAGTCATGGAGTAACGGCTTCTTTTCGTTACTGCCAGTATACTGAACGAAACGAGGCCGTTAAGTCATGGCATAACGGCTTCGTCTTGATACTGCTAGTATACTGAACGGAACGAGGCCGTTAAGTCATGGCATAACGGCTTCGTCTTGATACTGCTAGTATACTGAACGAAACGAGGCCGTTAAGTCATGGCATAACGGCTTCGTCTTGATACTGCTAATATACTGAACGAAACGAGGCCGTTAAGTCATGGCATAACGGCTTCGTCTTGATACTGCTAGTATACTGAACGAAACGAGGCCGTTAAGTCATGGCATAACGGCTTCGTCTTGATACTGCTAGTATACTGAACGAAACGAGGCCGTTAAGTCATGGCATAACGGCTTCGTCTTGATACTGCTAGTATACTGAACGAAACGAGGCCGTTAAGTCATGGCATAACGGCTTCGTCTTGATACTGCTAGTATACTGAACGAAACGAGGCCGTTAAGTCATGGCATAACGGCTTCGTCTTGATACTGCTAGTATACTGAACGAAACGAGGCCGTTAAGTCATGGAGTAACGGCTTCTTTTCGTTACTGCCAGTATACTGGACGAAACGAGGCCGTTAAATCATGGAATAACGGCTTCGTTTTGATCTGTATATAATACTATTATTAATGGTATGATTTTTTACCGACGTTTAAAACGGCCGCAAAATGACTGATATATATAGACGAGAATAATGACTTAATTCGTTATTATCTATTCATTCCGTTTTTCGTACGCACGTACACGCACGTAAAACTTTGAATGCTTCTATTTTTTAAATATTTTACAAATACTGTAAGTTAACAAATGCATACTAAAACTTGCGGAACACTAAATTATGTTGCTTTATTCATTTGGTTATTTGATAAGTAACATTTAAACGGATTTAAAGTTTTACGTCCGTATACGCACGTATGAAAAACGCAACAGTGGAAATCAGCCTTTACCCAAATGGTCACAGTAAACAATGATACGTTTCCGTCATTCTACAGGTCAAGGTGAATGTCGCTCAACACAATATGGCGCTTTTGATCTACTTGATGCGTATGGTGAAGGCGTTACTTGATAATAGTTCTCTTTTTCTTGAAAAATATGTGAGTCTATATATCATAAAAAGATTACCTGCATTGAAATCTATGTACTAAGATAGTATTAGGCAGGTACTGTAGTATATGTGGTTTAAAATATGGTAGAGTATTGACTTTGAAAATTTTATTCTAGCTTCATGAACTCATCCCTGCAGTTGCTACATGTGTCATAAGTCGTCAAGTTTGTGCCAAACCAGAAACTGATAATCATTGGGCACTTCGAGAGTTTGGATCTAAGTTATTGTCACAGATGTGTAGGTAAATAGTATGATATGGAAAGCACAAGAATATTTTGAAACTCTTCCTCCTCACTTCTAAGGCGGTGTCTCTACACCCCATGTCTGTTACGTCAAATTAATGGGTTCTCCCCTTATTTGAGTATATGTTTTGCGGACATTTTAAGGACCATTTGTTGTTGTAAATATGTAATTTTAAGGACCAATAGACTGCACTATTTATTGCACTCTTGCCCCGATGGCCTCGTTTTCATGTGGGTATTTCCTCATGTTTTATGCATGCACAATAGAGTTATTAAGTAAGGATAGGCTTGTGATTGGGATCAAGATCAAAGAGAAATATTCATGCACGAAACACGAGATACAACCTTGGCAAACATGTTAACATGGAAACGATGCCGTATAAATGACCATTGGGATAAAAGTGCAATAAATAGTAAAGTTTATCCAACAATGTCCGCGGGACATCGCGCATTACGTGTTTATCCGCGTTTGACGTCATTATGAAAAAGGTCTATTTTCAGCTTCTCACAGGCCATTGTTGAGGTGACTGAAAAATGATCATTTCGTGAAATGACAGTTGTGAGATTCAAAATATCGAGGAAGCCCACACTGCAGCAATACATTCATTTGTTGTTTGACAACCTTCTGTCCGTTGTTCAACTCGGTTTCTTATATATCATTGTGTCTCTAGAATGTTCAGTACAACAACTAACAATATCCAGCAACGTATTACGAAGACACTGTGCAAGGTACGACTTCAAAAAGATAATTTATTATGTTACTAATAAAAAGGAAGCTATGAAGGTATTGTTTGGTATTATGTGGCAATGTGGATAAAAACCACCGACCGATACAATTTAGCTCCAGTAAAAATAGATTGAGCAGTCAGTCGAGATTTGCCATAGGACGGTTGGTTAAATTCCTGGGGCCAGTTGTTCGAAAGCCGATCAGCTTAACCCTAGGTTAACCTAAAATTCAAAGCAAGCTTCCCAAGAGCTTATCTATAAATTTGGAAATATTTCTTCAGAGATCTTGTCTGGATCGATAGGAGCTTCTCTGAAGTTTTGAAATAAACAGACGTGCAGAAATACACAAACTAAAACAGCAGGTTAAATTTTAACCCAGGGTTAGCGCTAACCCACCTTTGAACAGCCGGCTCCTAAAGTATACCATAGTCTGATTAGTGTAATTAAAAAAGGAACAGCAAATAACCAAAACCTTTCATATATGGGACCCTATTGCATATCGCTGTTAGTTTGCACCGATGTTATGCGGCATTTGTAGTAGAAGTTTCAACAATTACTGCAAATTTCAAACCACTTCCATACCAAATATCTTCAATGCAAATGACCATTATATTTCAGGCACTTCAGAATGCCAAAGCACCTTTAGCCACCCACTACGGCGCAATAGCAGGTCTCGCTGAAATGGGAACTGAGGTAATACTGAAATAATTAATATGTACAATAATATTGTATTGCATAATAATTAATAAGGATTGCAATATTAGAATTTTTGAATTATTCACCATGAAATAAATATATGGTGATCGTCGGTCGAATTAAGTTTTAGCCGCAACCAAATTCTGCCCGCCAATCGAAAGGCGATGCCTGCGGAGGAGGCCCTGTCAAATTCGTCCTGCCTCGTGTGAACGCAAACTTTATTCCAGTCCACTGTTTGTGAAATACAACCGCTGTTTGTGAAATACAACATAGGATAGCTAAGGCTATCTGCATGAACGAAGAATAATAGAGCCCTTTGTAGAAATGTAGTGTTTAAAAATTTGGTAGGTTAGCCATGTTGGACAATGGAATTGATTTAAAGTGCATATGACATGAAATTTCTTATTTTCTTAAATGAAAGAACTTTTTAAATTGTAGTGTAACTTATTTTTCAGTTTCTTGTTTTTATGGTTTGTTCCCGAGATATTTCAATTTGTTTGATATGTAAATGAGTGTGAATATGTCCGCTAATTTATGACGTCACGTTGGTTGCATTTGTTTTGGTGTAAATAGGTAATGGGACAAGTACTGGTGTGAGACATTGTGTAACCTAAATAATTATAGGACCAGTATTCAAATTTATTGTTATTTACTTCAACTTCAATAGTATGAACTGCATATACGTGATGAATTATGGCAATAACGATTATAGGAACTGAGGAGGGGTGAATTTGTTAATTGGAAACGATAAGTCGAGAGATAAAGGAGAGAAAAGGAAAGGCAACCCTGTACGCGTTTCGACCTAACAGTCTTCTTCAGCAGGGTTTTTTAAGAGGGGTGCAGGTAGAATTTGCAGAGGAGAATGAAGGAGAGGTTAGGAGTTAGGATAAGCAATGGCACAGTAACAAAAAGGAAAGATGGAAAGATAGTGAGAAATGAAAAAACTACTACATGTTAAAAGAAAAGTTATCCTACCAAATGTCTTGTTATTGCTCGACATTCCAACACCACGCACCTTGCTGTTCATCTTTTGTTTAGTTTGATAAAGCAGAGTAATAATACAGTCCTTTCAAATGTAGCTAACTCAATAGTATAGTGAGTATGAATGATGTGATGGTAGGGGTGGGGTAGGATTTATATCATAGTGTGATCATGTGACTAAAGGTGATTGCATCCTAATATGGTGAAGGGAGCTAATTAGACAGGGATGGGGAGGTATCGCAATAAGAGGTGATTAGTGATAAATAATAAAATAAATAAATAATTAGATAAATAATTACCCCTTTACAGGGTTTATTGTTATAGATTTATGAGTATACATTAACCCCCAAAAAACAAAATATGTACATATATAACAAAGCCAAACAAGGATGATAAATGGAATGATATTATATGTCCAATCGTTATCTATAGTAGGTCTTAATTTGTCACGTGGAGTACTCAAGTTATCCATCATTATATTTACAAAGTATACTATTAAAACATGACAAGTATGTTTCGTGTTACTTGTACAAGGAACCAATGGTTATATGAAAATAAATAGGGACTGAGAATATGTTGGTGCATTATTTAATGCTGGTCATAACTGAAAAATTCTACATAGGACGCGTATGACGCCTAAGGTATAAAATGCATGTTGACATGCATAGAGGATTTGAATTAGGTATAGGAATTGTAACTATTGCTATTAGCCATCAAAACATATTAGGTACATGCATGCATGTCCAAAAACATCAGGCTCTGTTTTAATAGTCCAACTGTATGTAATTAAAAAGGTTGACCAACTATGCAGCGATGACGAGTCTATTCGAGTGGTTTCATATAGATGTTATCGTAGGAAATGCCACAGTCAAGTAATGGTATGAAAAATTGGCTATTGACGTCAATGTTAATCCTTTTCAAGTGCCAATCAGGACGATTAATTCTTTATAGTATGTGGACAACAATGTCTGCTTGATGGTAAGATATCAACAGCTGGTATTATAAGTTGTTGTAAATATGGTTTTCAAAACTCGGTGTTTCTATTGCTTTAATATGACCAAATTATCCAGTATTTCCACGACCAATGACGAAACTCCAAAATCTGTGTCTCACCATATCGAACCCGCTGTCATAGTGGTGTTAGTATGGCGTTTAATTTCATTA